GATCCTAATCTTTAATTCGATGCTAAGTTTGATTATTATCACGTAGATTCTTTTTAATCGACAAGTTAATAAACCCATCTTAGGAAAGCCCATAAAAATAGATAATATTCAAACATTCACTAAGCTGTTTAAGAATTAGAAGCTGATTTTTGGTTTGACCATCTTCTCTAAATCATCTTCACTGGCCACCTTTTTGAAAGCACATTCTTGTCTTGTTATTAAATTATAAATTTTTTCAATTTATTACTGCGCGATTCTACTTGTTTATATTCTTCAAATTTTTGTGTAATTTTCTTGCTTATTTGATCTCTTTCCGTATCAAACATGCACTTCACATCCTAACTTTATTTGGTTTAACTGTTTCACTCCATAACTCCTTTAACAGCTTGTTTTAACCGGTTTATCTGTTTGTTCGATGCATCTATACTTGATATTAATGCCTTACCAACTTTTCAAGTTCTTTAATATTCTCCTTTGCGCTAGCATGAAAATTTATCGTAACTAATAAATTCAAAAAATTTATGCTGATTTCATATTTCTCATATAATTCTTCTAAATGATTCTTAACTAACTAAATTATGATATGACATCAATGAAATCTTATTAAGCCGAGTATATTTACTAAAACTCTCATATCTTTCCGTTTAGGGATGTCGGTGAGACCGGTCCTCAGTCCATTCTGAGGATCGGTTCGTATGATAATGTTACTTCCTAATAAAATTTATTTATTTAAATAAAAAATTTTGTTAACTTTAAATTATAATAATAAGTATAATAACGTCCGAAATGAAAATATCAGAAATTGAGAATAATAAGAAGGCGCAGTAATCGTTTTGCGTGCAATTATTTATGGATATTATACGGTGTTGTATTTATATTGGTTAACGTCACTTCATGACGTTAACACCACCGTACAATATCCATATTATCGTACGGCTAATTCAGATCATGCTCTACATAAAGTTTATTTAAGTATAAACATTTTTTTTTAAAACTATTTCTTTCTTCCTTAATTTTTTATTGTTATGATTTCTCAATGTAAAATATCAAAAATTGATGATTCAAAAAATCTACCTAACGCGAACCATTATGAGTATATTGGTGGCACAGCATTATCACGGAATTTAATAATTTTTTTCAAAATTTCATTTATATATAAAATTAAATGGAAAAAAATATATATTATCAAATGATTGCTAATTTAATTAATTTAAATACAAAGGGTTCTTTACTAATTAAAAAAAAATGGTTGTTCAGTCAGTCAACCTGTCGGCCAAGGTCGTCAATCGATGACTGGACCATTAGCATCCCTATACAAGATATTTGAATGTCGTAAATTTCTTTTGCTTTTGATTTTGTCAACTTGAATTACAACATCGAATCCTTTAAATTGAAACGTTTCGTAATAGACTGATATAGAATTCTAAAGTCATATATTATTCTTAAGGAAAATGGAGTTAAAATATGAGTTTTGAAATCACTTTTATTCTTCAAGAAAAAAGGTATTACAAATTTTTAAAGGAGTGAACTCGTGATCATAAATACCTAAGTAAAAATTCTTGATATTGGTGATATTTATTTCGTCATTAGGTGTTATAGTTCTAGTTGACTACTTAAATAGAGGACTGCAACGGGTTCAAAAGTGCCAGACCGGACTTTTCTTCAAGTTATAATTAATTAAATTTAGATTCATTAACTCCGGCTAATTTTTTATATTGTTGCCCATCATTTTAAATTTTCGCGTTGTATTATTAATGTTAAATCTTCTTTTTTAAAAAAGTAAACGAGAGAATTTAGTATCATAATTAATGTACAGTACGTCGCACAAATTCTAAATTTATATTTATATTATAATGCACTTTAATATTTTTGTATTTGTTAAAAACAAAAAAAAAGATTTATGCAGGCCATCCAACTTATGGAATAAAAACAATTGATGACGCAAATCTTCATATATAACAATATGTACGCCATAAACATTCTTGTTGGCGAAGGTATACTTTTGTTGATGTGAATTTTTGATGATCATTTCTGCATTTATTCACTTTTTCGCTCTTTATATATTTTGACTGATTTTGGTATTGCACCTCGTGAACATCGAATTTGAAGTTTATAAAGCTGTTTTATAAGCTACAGCTACAGCTACAGCTGTAGTTATGCTACTATGTTATCATTAGAATAAATTTGTAATTTAAGCTTTCCTGTGGCACTTTTTAAATTTAACCATCATATTTTAAATAAAATATATTTTTATTTGATTTCTCTAATCTTTGTCGATCCATTTTATTTTGAAAATATTTGTTAAAAAATATCTTTAGCATAAAAATTATTATTTGCGTCACATTTATTAAATTTGTTTATCTCACTTTTTTTCAAATTTATGTTAAAAAAATTTTTTTTAAAAAAAAAAAAATACAAATCAAATCAAATATAATATGCCCGCTTAATTATCAACAATTTTGTACATTCAGATTACAGAAAAAAATTTTGAATAGTATTTTTTGCAAAAAAAAAATTCTCTTACTTTTTTTTATACAAATTATTTCAGGTGAATATAGAAACTTTGGTCAAATGAAACATATAAAGATGCCTTAAGTAAAATTGTTCAGCTAGTTTTGAAATTACCTGAATTTCAATTTTCGTCTAGGTTGGTTTGATATTTGTGGAGTTCGTAATGCTAATGATACACAAATTAACTTTTTTAACATTTTACATTATTTTAGCACTTTAGTTCAAGAAAATCACCTTTCATGGTCTAAGTAAAGTTGTTCATAAGATCCCAAATACTCAAATCTCAATTTTCATTAAGATTGGTTTGATATTTGTGAAGTTCGTAATAATAATGATATACGAATTCACTTTTTATGCTATTTAATGACTAATAATCATTTTATTTAAAATTTAAATAGAATAAAAAGTATATAAAATGCTATTAGCATTATTGTTAAATTTTGACCAACTTTAATAATGCTTATTTAAAAAAAAAACTAAATAAAAATTAAATTAAAAAATACAAAAATCATTAAAATAAATTTAAAATTTAATATATAAAAGATAAATAAATTATTTAAAATTAATAAATAAAATAAAATATTAGTAATATAATTAATAAGAAAAATTCGAGAGTATTAAAAAACAAATTTAAAAAAATTATTAAAAAAAAAAATTTAAATTTATATAAATATATTTTGATTAATATCCGCGATTTTTATATATATATATTTTTTAATTTGCTATTTGAAAAATCTATTAATAAATTGCATGTATTAAAAAATTAGAAAAAAAATGTAAATCTATAACCGAAAAAAAAATTAAATCCACAAAAAAAATCAATTGATTAAAATAAAATACAAAATAAAATAAAAATTAATAAAAATATTTACTGAAAAATTAACTGAAAAAGAAAAATTAAATTAGAAAAATTAATTTAATTAATAAAAATTAAACTTCTTTTTTATCAATGTTTTCAAAATTTTGGTTTTATATTTTTATTTATCATAAATGAAATTTTAAAGTCTATTATTTAATGCTAAACGGGGGACGAAGTCCCCGCAAACCGCAAATTCTAGTTATATTCTTAATAAAAATGTTGTCAATCATCAATTATATCGTTACACAGTACCATGGCGTGGCGTAAAGATTTCAAAAAATAATGGAAACAAAATGAAAAAATACAGATATTTTACAGATTTGACTAAATGGATATGTGCATGTCCTGCATATTAATTCTGTTGAATAAGCCGATACAATATTTTTAAAAAGGTAAGAAATTTATATTTAATATTTAATTTTGTTTTATTAAAGGTACAAGAAACGGAAATTATCCATTAATTTCATACTATGAAGGTGCACTGGTAAATTTATTTTTGTTTAGAATCTTTAGATTCTAAAACTACAAGTGTTCAATTAATTTAAGATTCAATTATTATTGAGGATGAGGAAAATTATATAATTGAAAGTGATAACGAACAAAATACTGTATGTATGAAACGGATTTGGCTTATTTGCATAAAGTATTAAATAAGGTATATTTGAAATTGTATATATATTAATGTATATTTGATTTTTTATTATATTAATATTTATTTCTAGACTAATGAATTGTTAGGGAATCAAACAATAACCAAAACGGCATTTATGGTTATAAAATGTTCGTTCGAATTTCAAATCACTAAAAAATCGTCGAACTATACCAAAAACTTTTGGAAGAACTTTTAATAATAATACAACGTATTGGGATCAATAATGTTTTTATATTAGTCAGACCAATAATTAAAATAAAATAATATTTTTTTTTCAAATTATAATATTTTTTTTTTTTTATTCGTTAAATTCTAAAAATTAATACAGTATATACCGGAAATTTGTGTCCGAAAATCACGTGTATTCCAATAAAATATCCGGCTACCATTTTTTCCGGGCGACGCAAAAATTTTTATCTTATTTTATCAAAAATTCAGAATATAGTATATTTACTTTTCCTTAATTGAAGAAACTTCCAGTTTTAATAAATCGTGAAAAAATATTAACATCTAATTTGTGCGAAAGGAAATGTAGACATCGCCTCCATCGTTATTACTTGGACCGACCTGTGATTTTTATGATCATGAAAAGTTCTTAATATTCCAAGTTAATTCGCAAATCATTACAACTTCGTTTTATTTATTTATTGATTAACTTAATAATAAAGAATAAGAATAAGAAATTTATAAAAGAAACTTTATTTAACGGATACATGAAAGAATCTGTTTCTGTTGAACGAATATAATAAGGATAACTTATAGTAAGTAAAGAATAATATAATGTATATCGTACCAATCGTACAAGATGCATTAATTCAGGATTACAGAAACGAAAAGATTATTTCATTCAAGGATGGAAAACCTTGTTTGTTCCCTCGACGCATAACAGAATTTTCTCATCTGGATTCGAAACTAATAACAAATAATAAGAAAAGGATTAATTCATGAACAGTTAAGCAACATAAAAAATATTGTCATTTACATACTGGTGGCTCTCGTATAGATTGTAGTTTCAGTATTCTTTGGTTCATCAGGGTGTTTCCCTATAAGCCAGGTTCCATTAAAGTCGAAATTTCCTTTTTCAACTGGGCAAGCGAACCCGCTTGGTTCGACAAATATCTCACAAAAACCTAATTCATGCTCGAAATTTCCTTTAGGATCATGATAAATTCTCATAATTGCACCCTTTTCAATAACTGCGGCCGTTTTACCAACCATGTTAACGGTGATATTTTGACCCGTGACAAGAGGATCTGGCGATATCTTCATTGAAGTTAGGCTTATTGCGTAGTCTCCATCGCATATTTTATAGTCGCTTGAAGAAGGTTCTTGACGCTTTCGCAATTCCAATGGAGTTGATTTGACGAATGATGATGCCAAGATTAAGGAAATAAAGAAGAAAGTTATAATTCGATTCATTTTTACAAAAATTGCTTATATAGAATTCGAAAATGAAAAGGAGCTTTAAAACTTTGTATATGATTTAAAGTTAAGAAAAAAAAAAAAATAACGAAGGCGAAACGACGCTGGTTTTATATTCGAAAAATGAAAAACTTGAGTAAATGAAATCAGATTACGATTGATTAATTTTTCAATCATTATTGTTTAATTTCTTTAATAAGCAGCCAACTTGCATCGTGCATTTTTTTTTTTTTGGTGGGAATTTTTGGCAGCAGGACGTATTTGCCTCATTATTGTGTAAAACCGGATTTCCATATACAGTAAATTTATAATTATATCAGATTATCTGAATATCCTCGTTATTTTATTAATAGTAGAGCTTCCTTACTTAGAAAGTTCTTAGTTATTAAAAGCAAATATGAGTTATAAACTATATTTAAAACGATTTTAATAATACCAAATATAATTGCAGTTCATGCAGCAATTACATAATTACAAATTATTTAAAATGACGGTATACCGTGATTTTCGTTTATAGTCAAAGCGAATTAAAAGAACGGATTTTTGTAATATTATTATTTAGAAATTATAATAAAGATATTTATATCTACTGTATATATCAATCAAAATTTATTGCGTTCATAATAAATTAAGAATTGATATTGGTGCAATCATACCTTTATTCAATTCATAACTATTGTCATTATTTTACATTTTTTTTAGTCTTTGACATATATAAAAAAATTATAATCGTAAAGACATACATAGAGACACGAGACTAAAAAATAGACGATCAGGGGTGGTAAATCTGCATATCCTTCAAGACAAGACATGATTTTTCCATCCGGGTTAGAAACTAACAAATAAATTAATGTTTAAAATCTTTTATTTTTGTTTTTAAAAAAAATTATATAGTATATAAATATCGGTTCATACATACGTAAAATTTCGTTTTAACATTTTTAGGTTCTTCATAAGTACTTTCCAAAAATATATTGTGGTCAAATCGAAATTCCCCCTCAACTGGACATGTGTATTCACTTTGTTCAGCTAAATCCTTACAAAATCTGCTTCATATTCAACTTTCCCGCTTTGCTCGTGATAAAACCTCATTATTGCACCTTTTTCAACAGATTCATTTGCCACACCAGCGAACCAGAAGCAAGATTGCCAAAGATAACAGGTTTTGGATTGTAGGTGCATGTAATACTTGTGACTGGATAAGCGCCATCGCAACTTTTAAAATCGGTAAGTGAGTTTTGACGTTCTCGTAATTCCAATGGAGTTGACTGTATGACGATGCCAAGGTCAAGAAAATTCTTAAAACTTATTTTTCAAAAAAAAATTTTTTTTTATTTGTTTGTATACAAAATTAAGAGTAGAGCTTAAAAATTTCTTTTATTTCATTTGAAGAGTAAAGTATAGTACGTTTAATACCGTATAGTCCCGAAAATAAGCACCCCGTGACACGCTCCTTTTATAGTAATTTATTTATTTGTCACATGGAATTTATTATATTATTAGTCACGTATATACTGATAAATTCATATATATCACGTGATGCTTATTTTCGGGACTATACGGTATTTGCAATAATGAGAATCAAATAATATACCTTTTCTCATTGTATGAATTTTTCCTTTTTAATGATTATTATTTCATGTATTAAGTGAATCCTACTTTGGATTAAATTTGACTATAAAGTTTTTTACAGCTAATTCAAATCGAAAAAAAATCTTTGCGGTTCAATAACAGGTAACCTTGAGTAATTCTTTGTGATTGAAAACAAAATTAAATATGAATAAAGAACTATGTTTAAAATGATTTTACATAATTTTCCAATTGTCTTTTGTTAATTGGCAAGCCGTAATTCAATTAAAATATAAATTCCTAGCACTATTATTTATTTTATTTTACATATAAAATATAGAATATGGAATATGTGATCCAACTTGAAAAACTAATATGAGTTGAATTGCTGAGAATTCTAGAAAGAACAATCGCGTTAAAATTCATAGCGAAGGTTGAAAGTAGATACCCATTTTTATTTTATTTTATTTTATTTTTTTTTTTTTTGATTCTTCTCATCCAGTTGATTTTTCTTAATTGATCGGCGCACATTTTTCCTTAATTCATCTAATATTTTAATATTTTTTAAAAAAAAATTAGTTATTTTACAGAGTTCAGAACATCTTTCCAAAAAAATAATTTAGACATGAATACTTTATCCATGCAGAAAATCAACTTTTTAAGCGACATCTCAACTATTACGAGTAGCAACGGTGTGTCCTGTCACAACCGGATTTGGAATTTATTATTTCATTTAAAGTGCGTGCGAGTTTAATTTATTTTATTTACTTTAATTTTTTTTTATTTAATCGTTAATAATGTAGCGATCAAGGAAACACTATGTAAATATTAATGCGCCTCATTTTCTTAAAAAATTTCTTATCTTTGAATCTAAAAATCAAAAGGAGCTTTAATGTTTTGATTGAAAGAAAACAATCGGTCAATACTGATTATATATTTGTATAATCAAAAAATACTGAGATCAAATGACTAAAAAAAAAAAATTCTATTTTTTTTTCCTGCTATATTTTCGTTATTTTTTTTTGTAACGACAATGGGAAATAATGAATGTAACAATGATTTTGAAGGCGTAACTTCTCGTAAGAAATAAAAAACTTTTTTGAATCAAACAATGAATATAGGATTATCGCGAACGCCAAATAAAAAGGCTCTTTTTATAGCAATATTAAATTTGATTAAAAAATACAAAGAATATTGTTATTTATGAAATGGAAACATAATGCTTTTGTCCATACTGTATATTCGTGCAAAATGAAAATAGGAAATATCTATATCGATTATAATTATTAATAATTAGTTAAGCTGAGGATCATGTGATTAACTTTGTGTACAAGAAAAAGATCCAAAAAAAAAAAAATATATTATTGTTACGCGAAAATTAAATTTATATGTATATCGGCGTTGTTTATTTGTTGATCATCCGATGCCAAGACATTAGAAAAAATGGCAATTTGATCCGATGATTATAGAACAATAGTTTTTATAAGAATATTTTTTTATTTTTTGAAAGGACCTGAAAAAAAAAAAAAAAAATTAGATTTTTGTTAATACAAAAGTAGAAATAAAACAAAAAAAAAAATCATTTTGCAGACATATTGCATAATTTGATCTTATGATGATGTTACATTTTATTTCAAGTCTAGTACTTTTTTTATGTATCAAATTGATCGTGAAATCAATTTATCTCCTCATTTTCTATTCATAGTGACAAATTACAATTAGTTTTTTGTGTTCGAATCCGCTTGAAAAATATTCATATTAAACAAAGTATATTAATTATATGAAACTTGACTGGATAATGAAATCGTTCCTAAATCCGGAGCGCACCATCATTTTTCCCCATATTACTCTAAAAATAGAACACTATCCAGAATTACCAACGAGGTCATTTAAAAAAAAAAATTAAATGACCTTATAATTTTCCATCACTGCCTTAGATGAAGTTCATGTTCGCTTGGTATATGATGATACTTAGAAACATAAAATATATTAAGGTTTAAATTTTTATTTCATTTACCATTGCGAGTTTGTTTTTTCCGAATGTTTAATAATCCGTATCGAGGCAAATAGTTCCGATTCGATCACTTGTTACTTTGAGCACGACCCAATATTTGCTGTGAGTATACAACTTGCTGTAACAAACTTCCTGATTTTTGGGTAACAATATAAAAAGGAACTTCTGTCTTTATCGTTTTGAATTATAAAGGAAGGAAAGTTACAGATAAAAATGTGCAAAATTTAGAGATAACAGAAATAAAAAGTTATTTTAAATTAATTATGATTTGAAGTTGAATTTTATCGTTTACTAACGAGATATAAAATCGTATGATTCAAACCATCACTGAGAAGTCTATTTTTTTTTTTTTACAAATATCTAAGCTTTTTTTTTTATTTTAAAGGAAAATGGCTGATAAATTCATAAGCTATTTTCCTTCGTCGTGTATATAAGATTGGTTATGATAATTGTATTGTACTGTACCTTTGATTCAACGGACTAATTGAATTGTGGCTTCTTTATTTAAACGAAGAAATACAAAGCAGGTTTATTATGATCTCTTTTTTTTTTAAAAAAAATAAAAAAAATATAAATACAATAATAAGAAATTTTATTGGCCACAATTGATTGCTAAATATTTTTATGATAATAAATTTAGCTTTTTTCATTTTATGATAAATATAGTATATCTTAAGATTCTTATATTTCTAATAACTAAATAAAATAAATTACACGTTTTTATGAAAACTTTTGATAGTAGAAAATTAATATAATGCGAATCAGATGTTCAAGATGTTCAGATAAATAAATTTCAATGCCGCTGACGATAAATATTTCCTCCTATTAAAGCCTTATTCAGTATATGAAAAGGTATTTTTTCCCCCTATTAAAGAAAAATGCAGTTAAATATATAATATAACTATCGAATTATTTTAAATCAACGGATTTTTAATGTTTATTGTTTTGAGTATATTTTCCGTATTTATTAATATGAAATTGTATATATTAATTTAATTTTAAACTTTAAAAGAATCATTAATCACTTAACATTTCCAAAAATGCCGTGTACAATTTGCTGATTAAGTCTTGTTGATACGGTTGCAATATTTTGTTGAAAAGATTATTGAGGTGTAGTACCGCATTTATTTCTGTTTAGAAATAATTGCTTCCATGAAATGTTTAGTATCAATTTTTTATAATTTACATTTTTTGCAAAAATTATTGAATGCGAAGCATTTCGGTCAAAGTACTCCGAAGAATTACTAAGCTATTTATATCTACGATCGTAAATATAATAAATACTATACGGAACTCGTCAAAAATTTCCTGATGTGGCCTAACCATGGTATAGATGACGTACACTATAAATAAACTCGCGATCGTCATCATTACGCGACCTGATCGGATATATATAAAGCATACGCTTTTTTTTTTTCCTTCCTCTTCGCCAATCTCTCTCTACCAAAACAACTGAAACTACACTTCTCCACTAAAATTCCGAAGAAGAAACTATTATAAAAGATGTCCATTTCTGAAGAAACTCGCGTCGATTATGATGAAGGAACTCGTGATGAAGAAACTCACCAGACTTATCCGGGATAAGATGGTAAGTTCTTATATAACTTTGCAATTGACTTAGTAAAAATTCGGTTTCTAACCAATTTTCAACTTCCTAGAACTCGTCTCCTATTTAACGAACCAAGCAATTAAATCTTTTCAAGGTTTCCTCTTCCGTCTCCGAGAAGTAGTTCTTAGCTCTTCCTCAAATACTTCTTGGCAGAACCTTGATCATTGTTGGTTCAACCGCTTTAAAAGCAGCATACTTGTTGCTAGATAAAAATAATTATGAAGCTTTATTTATAAGGTGGGTTGATTTTATTTTGCAAGAGGAAGGGTAACTCCTATTGGATCATTGATCCCTTACGAGAATTACTGTACAGCGATTGCTGGTAACCATCCCCAGTTTTTCTGTACGGGCGCCCTGTTTATACAATTAATTTTGTTCATTTTGTCGTTGCTAAAGTCTGCTGATTCTTGATGAAAGGGAATTGGCTATGTAACTTCTTTATCCTAAATAAATTCTGCACACTAACAATCAATCCTCTCTCTCAATAGGTGCAAAAGGAACGTGACGGCTTGGAAAGATATTGGCGAGAAATTTTTGAGGAGTGCAACCTTGTGAGTACAAAATGTGATTTATTACTCAAACATACTCAAACAGTAAAATGTAGTAATAATCATTATGTTAAACTATCCTATATTATTTTTAGAGAAATGATCTTTCACTAAACAAGGCTGAAAGAGAACGTTTCAACGCCGTCATATAGGGATGATAATGGTCACGGTCATGACCGGTCATGACCGTGACCGATATCGGTCGGTCAAAGTCTTCTGACCGACCGGTTGACCGACCGATTCTGAGACTTACAACCATGTTTTAAATAGTAAAACACTATGTGTTAAATTAACAAAATCAAAACATTTTATTATAATTATGATTATCTATAATTAAAATTGAAATTTTGAAATTGTCTGCGATAATGCTGCGCCATTAAAAAAATGTCAAAGTGGTTTTTAAACATGACATGCCATGCTAGAATTGTTAAAGCAAGAATCAAAATTATAATATTTGGCTAAATAAAACTTTTTATTAAGCCAAAACTGCTCAATTAAATTACTATTAACTGGTCGGTCAAATCAGTCAGTTAAAATCGGTCAGTTAACCGGTCGGTCGGTCAAAAGCCTTTGACCGTCCCTAACTAAGATTACTTATTTTCTTTTAACGCACAACCAGACCTTAAAAGAAATTCTGAGTCAACCCTAGTTATCGTTGTACAATTTGGATTTAAATGATCAGGACATAAAAATTTTCTTTTTCTTATGAATTTTAAGAATGTCAGACGGTAATAATAAAAGTAACTTATAACATTATTTCTTTCAATTTTATAGATGGCTTTGGCTTTATAGCAATATTATAAGCATAAAAGGCCTAAAAAAAGAATAAAAAGCTGAAACTTTACTTTACGTGCCTAATCGAGT